TATTTATGACAAACCAACAGCCAATATCATACTGAATGGGCAAAAACTGGAAGCATTCCCCTTGAAATGTGGCACCAGGCAAGGATGCCCGCTCTCACCACTGCTATTCAATATAGTATTAGAAGTTCTAGCCAGAGCAATCAGGCAAGAAAAAGAAATAAAGGGCATTCAAATAGGAAAGGAGGAAGTCAAATTGTCTCTATTTGCAGACGACATGATTGTATATCTAGAAGACCCCATCGTCTCAGCCCCAAACCTCCTGAAACTGATAAGCAAGTTCAGCAAAGTCTCAGGATACAAAATCAATGTGCAAAAATCACATGCATTCCTATACACCAATTACAGACTTAAAGAGAGCCAAATCAAGAACAAACTTCCATTCACAATTGCCACAAAGAGAATAAAATACCTAGGAATACAACTAACAAGGAATGTAAAGGACCTCTTCAAGGAGAACTACAAGCCACTGCTCAACGAAATAAGAGAGGACACAAACAGATGGAGAAACATTCCATGTTCATGGTTAGGAAGAATCAATATCGTGAAAATGGCCATACTGCCCAAAGTAATTTACAGATTCAATGCTATCCCCATCAAGCTACCAATGACCTTCTTCGCAGAACTGGAAAAAACCACCTTAAACTTCATATGGAACCAAAAGCGAGCCCGCATAGCAAAGTCAATTCTAAGCAAAAAGAACAAAGCAGGGGGCATCACACTACCAGACTTCAAACTATACTACAAGGCTACAGTAATCAAAACAGCATGGTACTGGTACCAAAACAGAGATATAGACCAATGGAACAGAACAGAGGTCTCGGAGGCAACACAACATATCTACAACCATCTGATCTTTGACAAACCAGACAAAAACAAGCAATGGGGAAAGGATTCCCTGTTCAATAAATGGTGTTGGGAAAGCACATGGCTACATGTGCAGAAAGCAGAAACTGGACCCCTTCCTGACACCTTACACTAAAATTAACTCCAGATGGATTAAAGACTTAAACATAAGACCTAACACCATAAAAACCCTAGAAGAAAATCTAGGCAAAACCATTCAGGACGTAGGTGTAGGCAAGGACTTCATGACCAAAACACCAAAAGCATTGACAACAAAAGCCAAAATAGACAAATGGGACCTAATCAAACTCCACAGCTTCTGCACAGCAAAAAAAACAATCATTAGAGTGAATCGGCAACCAACAGATTGGAAAAAATTTTTGCAGTTTACCCATCTGACAAAGGGCTGATATCCAAAATTTACAAAGAACTAAAACAGATTTACAAGAAAAAAACTAACAAGCCCATTCAAAAGTGGGCAAAGGATATGAACAGACACTTTACAAAAGAAGACATACATGAGGCCAACAAACATATGAAAAAATGCTCATCATCACTGGTCATCAGAGAAATGCAAATCAAAACTACATTGAGATACCATCTCACGCCAGTTAGAATGGCGATCATTAAAAAATCTGGAGACAACAGATGCTGGAGAGGATGTGGAGAAATAGGAACACTTTTGCACTGTTGGTGGGAGTGTAAATTAGTTCAACCATTGTGGAAGACAGTGTGGCGATTCCTCAAGGACATAGAAATAGAAATTCCATTTGACCCAGCAACCCCATTACTGGGTATATATCCAAAGGATTACAAATTGTTCTACTATAAGGACACGTGCACACGAATGTTCATTGCAGCATTGTTTACAATAGCAAAGACCTGGAACCAACCCAAATGCCCATTGACGATAGACTGGACAGGGAAAATGTGGCACATATACACCATGGAATATTATGCAGCCATCAAAAACGATGAGTTTGGGTCCTTTGTAGGGACATGGATGAACCTGGAAACCATCATTCTCAGCAAACTGACAGAAGAGCAGAAGATCAAACACCGCATGTTCTCACTCATAGGCGGGTGTTGAACAATGAGAACACATGGACACAGGGAGGGGAGCACTACACACTGGGGTCAGTTGGGGGGAAATAGGGGAGGGACGGTGGGGGGTGGGAAGCTGGGGAGAGAGAGCATGGGGAGAAATGCCAGATGTAGGTGATGGGGAGGAAGGCAGCAAATCACACTGCCACATGTGTTCCTATGCAACAATTTTGCATGTTCCTCACATGTACCCCAAAACCTAAAATACAATAAAATAAATAAATGGAAAAAAAAAAAAAAAAAACACTGCTCTGTGATTATAAAATTCAGAACAGAGTGGTTACAAGCTTATCTTCTTACACAAGGGCCTATATTCCAATAAATGTTCTCAGGCTTCATCTCGGGTTAGATTTAATCTGCACTACACCTGAGAAAAAACTCCCATCTTCACCACCTTTCTTTCCACCACTGACTCTTAATTAAGAAGGCTGAGCACTCTGGCCAGGTTTTATTAGTCACAACGTAATAGAAACAATGCTTTGTAGGCATGTGGGACTTAACAAAATAATATAGATATTAAGAAAATTATGAGAAGCTCATAATACCCTGCCTCTACAGGGTCTGCCAGAGGTGAGCTCCAGGGATCAAGAGTCACAGATTGTGTCAGCAGTTTGGGGGATCATGGTGACAGGAATCTCAAAGGCTTCAGTCCACACACAGTAAGTACCCTGGAGCCTGGTGGAAAAGTAATGGAATAACGTCTACTTTCCATGAGCTGTGGACTTTATAATCATTGTCTTGTCTTACTCTCACAGTTTCTCAGCGAAATGCTATTAATTCTACTTTACGGATAACTGAGTTTCAGCAATAGCTGGTAACTTGCTCAGTGGTGCACAGCTAATAAACAAGTGATGCAGCCAGGACTTGAGCCTTGATCTGTTTGACTCGAAAGCCCACATGTTCAACAACAGGGCCATTATGCCTCCAATTATCGGGACAGGGTTTGGAAAACAAAGACTAGTATCAAGGTTCACTTACAATAATAATAGTTTAATATGGAGTCACAAGCTCACATGCCTGTAGGGTGACATAACATTCATTAGAAATATGGGTTGGGGGAAAGATGTTAGGGTGAATGCCGAGGTAAGCCAAGGAACCCCATGACCCTTTCCATACAACTGTCAGTATTGGATCTACCAAAATTTTCAAGAGAATTTAGAAACCTGATTTTCATATAAAAACTTTCTGTTTTGAAACAAATGACCACTAGTTCATTCTGAACTGCTGCAGGCCATATGAAACACGCAGTGTGCCCTTGGGTGCCCTCTGCTCTGGGCCCCACTCACCATGACGGCAGGACCTCTGTCTTCTTCACTCCCATAGCCCAGGCCTTAGAACAGAGTATAGGAGCTTAATAAATATTTGTACAACGAACAAATGAATTCTCAAGTAAACAACAGGGAGGTGAAGAAGAACCGAATCCCGACTCTTAGGTACAGAGTTCTTTTATCAGAGCCCAGGCTGTCTGTGTGGGTGGGAAAGATGCCACTCAGAACCAGCAGCTCAGCAATGACTGAACTTATCCTTATCACCAGTGACTTGTACTGGGGGCTGGTGACTGCTCAAATTGTCCCTTCCATAAGGCAAAGTTGATCTGGGAATTGGGGTAAGACTGTCCCACCTCTCAGAATCTGGGGTTGTCAGGGCAGACAGGGCTAAGGCTGAGAAACTTTAGCCGTCTCTCCTAAGCTAGCACTAGTTATGCAGTCTGTGAAATGAGATGAAGGGGACGACAAGTCCAAAACATGGAGGAAAATAATGAATTAATGGACAGTGAGTAACGCGGCAACTTTTTACAGAAAGACACACTAAGTATGGAATGCATCCTACAAATGTGTTCCCAAGAAGATTCTAAGTCATCTTTGGAAACCCTTAAATATTTCTGATGAATAAGATAGAGGAAATATATTTACAAAGTATTTCCCAATGAAAACATGCCAAAGCCTCTATCTACCATCCCCTAGTCAACTTCCAAACATGAAAGGCAGCTCGTGTTCTCTGTGCTTTGAATGTTTTGTAGGTATATGCTTTTCAAAAATAACCCCAAATCCATAGTCAAGTAAACACTCGCTAAGTCCTCATAAAAAGTGCTTTCAGTGCTACAACTAGACTTCAACTATAGGGCAGACCTCACTGGCAGGAGCACTGCTCCCAGAAAACAAAAGAAATCCCTTACAGCCAAGCTGTCACCAGCTGCCAGGAGCCAGAGTGCAGATCCAGTAGATGCACTGGTTTCCCTAGTGGGAAACTGGGTTTGTGAGTGAAGCTCCAGCAATCTCCACTGATTTTACCTCACTTTGCATTATTGGTACTATTTGATGCAAGATATTCTGGCTCTCCCAGGCCTTCGTGTTGGCATCCCTGGGGTGCAAGGTTGCCAGCTACCTGTGTGACTCTTATGTCAGCACACACCAGTCTCTCCTCTCTTCCAGAGAGCTGGTCTTACCTCTGGTACCCAAGCTGGGTTTGTGGTTGAACAATATAATATTTTTTAAACTAAAGAAACAGCATTAGCCAGAAGCTAACCATCTGTCTTTCTAAGTCCTTCCCCACCCTAGAAATGAGCTTTGCTTGTCATCTTTGGCATGACACTCTTGCTAGGGTCTCCCCAAAATTCGTGTGTTGACATTTTAATCTCTAAGGCAATGATATCAGGAGGTAGAATCTTTGGAAAGTAATTTGGCTCTGCCCTTATGAATGGAATTAGTGCCCTTATAAAGGAAGCCTGAGAGAGGCTCCTCACCCCTTTTAGCATATAAGGCTATGGCAAGAAGGCACCTTCCATGAGCCAGAAGGTAAGCTCTTACCAGATACTTAATCTGCCTTAATTTTAGACTTCCCAGGCTCTAAACCATGAGAAATAAAAGTCTGTTTTGTCTAAACTACGCAGTTTATGGCATTTTGTTATAGTGCCCCTAGCAGGCTAAGAAAACTCTCCCCTGAGCAATCAGAGTCCAGTTGTGATGCCATAAAACCACCAATCACTTTGCAATCATCCCAAAAGTGTCCCAGAGCACCCATCACCTTACAGTTTCAAAAATAAGAACACCAACCTTTAGGAACAGGGGGAGAAGACTCAACAGGTTCTTCTGACGCTCACTGGGGCTCTTGTGAGTTAACTGCTGGTATTCCAGAAACTTCCTTTCCAGCATGTCCCAGAGAGCTGTGGGGCCAGGGGACTGCCCTCCATGTGGGACATCAGGCCACACAGCAGTGAGCTGCCCTTCGTTTTTGGAACCTGGATCTTCATTTCTGTCTTCAGCCTTTGAAAGATCTTCTGCCTCCATGCCGTGGCAAAGCAGATCTGAATTCAGGACAAACAGAAGTGAGCACCCCTATCACCGCACTTCCCGATGATTCTGGCTGTGGATAAGGTACCGTATTCACTCAGCCCAGTTTCTATTGAAGATGGTTCCTCTAAGAATCTGAAACTGACTAAAATAAGGAAGGCTTTTTAAAAATGGGATTCCGATTTAGGTGTGATTAGTACAAATTCACAATCTAGTGTGTGCCTAGCACTGTGGGCTCTGGTTAACAAAACTCAGACAGACTCTCTTAGAACCACACAGACAGAAAGGTGCTCCTATTCTCCCTAGGTAAGTAAAGAAACTGGGCCAAAGGCATATGGTTATGTCAAAATGCAAACCTTAATACTAAAGTCTGGTTTTGTTTTGTTTTGTTTTACTTGTTGCTGCTTCTCTTTTAAAGGGCTGTGTACATGAGAGAGATACAAATAGTTTACTGGGATTTGTAGAGGCATGTAATTCTATATTTAGAACTTCCTTCTACGATGGGTCTGAAAGGATAGATTCCTCACTCTAAGCATTATTTGGTTTATACTCGATATTTTTTGAGTATTTTGTTCTCAGAATGACCCTTTAAGTCCCCAAGCTTACAGGAGCTCATCTCTAAGTGCACACAAGTCGGGCACAACAACAAAAACTTACGTGATGAAAACATCCAAGGGCCATTCACCAGGTAAGTGATCTCCCAAAGGTTCACACCTTCAGAAGTGGTCAGTCAATTATGACTCACAGCATAACATAGGTTTATTTATTGTTTGTTTGTCTGGAGTTGAGTAAACTCTAAGAAAGAACTAAAATGTTCAGGCTCCCTGAAAAAAATCCCTCCCAAACTCAACATCACCCACGCAGGAGGCCATCCGGAAGCCCAGCTGGCATTCAACAGTAACAGGGTAGCAACCAAGGAACATACAGAGGTGGGTCCCCAGGGTTCTGCTCTTGGCTACAGCAGTGATGGGGGCACATCATGCTTTATTTTTAGCCCAAACACACATTCCTTGCAGGCTAGAACGGAGTTTAGCCACGTGCCACCGGCAAGGCTAAGCAGCCCCTTTCTGAAACTGGCCCACTCTCTATGTGCAGAACCCAGTCTGCCCCGGGCTCCTCTTCAAGCGCTCAGGTGGCTTACTTTTTACTTCATTTTTGGAAATCATTTTCTTATTACAAAAGCCATGCCAGTTCATTGTCGAAAACTGGGAAGAAACACAAAAACCACGAAGAACATAATGCTTACCCATACCCAGAAAACATGACTGCTGACATTCCAGCTTCTATCTATGAATATAAAGTTTAATAAGAATGCGATCATAATATTTTTAAGCCAACTTCAGTTATGCTTCATCTTTTGTTGAGCACTGGGATGGGAGTTTGTGGGGGATTAAGTTATTTCTTTTGGAGGTGGATTTTAAGGGGCAGGCGGTGGAATTGCTCACATCCCTCAGCCTTTTCCCTGATCTTGACGGCTGTGTTCATTTATTCCTATATCACTGGGACTCTGTTCTCCACTCATATCCCCTGTGTCCCAGCCTCACCCACACCCCTGCTTGGTGAGTACAGTTCCACCAGCATGGACCTTACAGGGCATGACACACATCACCTGATTTCTGTCCGCATACACTTAAGTGACGAATGCTGTTCTGCATCGTTTCTGCTCTTACTCTTTCACCCAGCATTATGTCTTCAGAACCCACCACGTGGCTCTGTGTTTGTCAAGTTCATTTCCTCTAACTGCTGCCTTGTGTTCCAAAGTGAGCATCATGTGCCTATTTTACTTGTTGGCTTTCTCTGTGACAGATGGCTGGATTAGCCACAACATCCGGTCCTGCACACAGGGCTGGGGTGGACGCTCCTGTGTGGGTCCCTTCATTGGGATCTCATGACTGACTCTGGGTATGAAGGCAGAAGCAGCAGAATGGAGTCAAGGGAACATGCCTGCTCAGTTCAACTAAGTTCCACCAGCTAAGATGGCTTCAGAAAGCTGGCATCAAGCCATCTCCCCCACAGCATCTGAAGACTCCTCAGTGACCTCATTGCCACTCTGCTTGACATCACCCAGCTTTACAGTGTTTTCAATCTGAGTGAAGGAAAGTGATCTCACATTGTCATTTTAATTTGCATTTCTCTAAGTTACTAATGAGTACGAGCATCCCTTTACATGCCTTTTGGTATTTCTTCTCTGTGAATTAACTACTCATAACCTTTGCTATTTTTTCCTTATTTGTCTTTCTTTTGCTGCTTTGTGAGAGTATATTCTAAAAGCTGGTCCTTTGTTAGTTTTAAAAATTGCAGACATCTTATCTCAATCCATTTTTGAATAAATTAGTCTATAATTTTCTGTGTAGTCAAAACAGCACATTATGAATATTTTCCACATCATTTAAGATCCTCAGTGCCTTCATTCTTAATGGCTACATGGTGACCATAGAGTAATGTTGCTTGTTTATTTAATAAGCCCTTACACTTAGGTATTTAAATGATATCCAATCATTCACTACTATAAAAAATACTGTAATGACAAGGTTCATGTCTAAGTCTTTTTTATATATCCATGATAAAATAACAAAATCCCAATCCATTTCAAAACTTCTAAAAGGAAATAGTTGGATCTAAAGGTAGATAAATTTTCCAGCCTCTTGATCCATATTTCCAAACAGCTGCTCCTGAAACACCAATCCTATCAAGGGACAGACAGTCCTTTCACATAAGTGTACGAGAACTCACATTTCCCTATGTGTAATCTTTTTTATTACCATTTTTTTAACCCTGATAATTTGACAGGTAAAATAAAATCAAGAGCAAGTGCATCTCTGCTGTTTCTCTCTGTGTATTTGCTACAGAGTGAGGAGATACACATGTTTCCGTCTAGGCTTGGTCTCCTCAGAGCTTCCTGTGGCTGCTTTTCTGGAGTCAGACTGCAGTGAGTTCTCATTTCACGAGTTCTTTGTAAGGAGGTCTCAGCTATTCTCATGGCTCTAATTATCCCTGAGAGCCACGTATCCATTAAACATTAGCTTTGTGTCCATAGCAGGGGCTGGCACAGAGTAGATGCTCAATAAAATCTTATTGAATAAATGAATGAAAGTATTAATGAATCCATGAATGAATTAACCTATGTGCTGATGGCATCCAAATCTCAATGTCTCTCTCTCTCTAGCCTAGACCCTTCTTTAGAACAAGTTCATTTTTCTTACTAGAAGATTTCTACTAGGATTTCCCCAGGACTCTGAAAGCCACTATGTTCATCTGTAGCACCAATAGAGCCAGCTCCAAGCCAGCTCCAAGCAAGCTTAGTGTTGGCTCTACCATATAAAGTTCATTTCGCGGTCACACCTACAGGCTCTACTAACTGGTTCCATCAATAAACTGTGTCTGAGGACCTGCTAACATGCCCCATCTTCAGGACCAGCAAGTGGCAAGTCAAGTGAGCATCGGGTCAGAATATGAAACTGTGATAACTGGGGACTTCACTGGAGAGCCCGAAGAAGGATCAGAAACCGCCCAGCTCTCCTCTGAAGTGCATAGGAAGCCACGTTTACTGAAGTGAAACACTTGACTCACCTTCACTTGAATAGACGTAGATTTTTGAAAAACAAGAATTTCTAACTAATGCGGACCCCTGAAATTGCGTGGCAGCAGCACCTGACTCACATGCTAAGCTGCAACTGCCCCACCTCTTGCTGGTCTGCTGATCGTCCCATACCTGCTTCAGTTTTGTTTGAAAAGAGAAGGAAACAGGGAGCAGCTTCTTAGGGCCATGTGAAGAACAGCAAGAAGAAACCATTCTAATCCGTCTCATTCTCAAGAAGGGCCCCACGTACAAGCCAGCAGCCTCTTCTCATCCAGAGTGAAAAGCAATCCGTTGGGTCACTGGGGGAGTCCCAGGCGAGGCCAGGGTGAGGGCAGGGCAGTTAAGGAGGCACTCACCTCTGCACAAGATTTAAGGAGGTGCCAAAAAGTAACCATTTAATGCAACATTTTTAAAGATCAAAGTTAATGCCAAGAAATCCATGATGACCAAAATATCCAAATGTTATATAAAAACAGGATCCAAACCTGTGCTTCGCAACCATCTCCCCACCTCACTCCCCACTGTGGGAACTTGAGTTCAGGGCATTTTTCACAAAAATCAACCTGTTAAACAGACAACACATCTGTGCCTTGGCTCCTGGGGATTCTACTCTCAGACATGTTTTAGACCAAGTGGCAAGACCCATCCCTGCCTCAGTGTCTTCATTTGTAAAGTGGGGATGAAAGCAGATTGGCTCACAGGGCCCCTCTAGCATTAGTCAGTTCAGCACAGGTCACTGTTAGGATTGGGGGGCAGGTATTTACTGGCACCTACTTAGTGCAGGCATTTACATGCAACTCTTCATGTAATCCTCCTTATATCCAATGACGGCAAAGCTAGCAGCTTTTGTCCACAGTGGATGCTGACATGGGAGCAGAGAGGTGACTTACCCAGGGTCTCTTCACCAGCTAGTGGCCAGAGCAGACACCCCTAGGTCTGTGGACAGCCCAGGCTTTGCTGCCTAGCATACCCCAGCAGTGCACACAGGCAGCTGGGCTCACACTGTGGCTGCTTGGGGCCGAGGATGGGGAGAGAGACTTAGCAAACTATTATGCCCAGTCACACAGGCTGGGGAAGACTTGCTACCCTGGAAAAGTTCTTGGGCAGGTGAGCTTTTAGAAGAAGGGTTCAGGGAAACATGGCCTTGGAAGGGCAAGGGGGCAGGAGGCTGCAGGGAGTCCCAGAGCCTCCAGGAAAAGAAGCTCACTCCTCCCTGCCGGATGTGCTATTCCAGCTTGAATGGGGTTGGGGCATGCAGCACTCCAGCCCTCCACACCCCGACCGACCAGGTTGGAAGCCTTGCTCTCCTGAAGCAGAAACTTGCCTTCTCACACAGTCTCGAGACAGAGGGGTCAGTGGGGCTGGGATGGGAGTCACAGGCAGGGGTCCAGGTCTAGCTTGGCCCCTGTGGTGTCTTAACTGAGTCACTTCCCC